AGAGAGAGAGAGAGAGAGAGAGAGAGAGAGAGAGAGAGAGAGAGAGAGAGAGAGAGAGAGAGAGAGAGAGAGAGAGAGAGAGAGAGAGAGAGAGAGAGAGAGAGAGAGAGGATCATCTGGTTGTAGAGTCAACATTGACTCAAATCATTTTATTCACATCTTTCGTCTTGAGGTCAGACCTTCCAGATGTTTTGACAAGTTATCGAACGAGACCTCTAAAAGGAACATGATTGTTAACCCCAGAGCGTTATCAAGCCGAATAGTGTTGTTGAAGTGGGTCCTTGTAGATGTGAAGTCCTGATAAAACGGTGCGGGCTTCTGTGTTATAAATATATTTCACATTTGACCGAGTACAGACCATTAGTCGTGTGTGAACATTTGAGCAGTTGTTAAGACAATTTGTCAGTGGCAGCAGGTGTGAAACATTTGAACTGCTGTTACGACAGTTTGTCAGCGTCACAGGTGTGAAACATTTCAGATATTGCAGGTTCAAAGGTGAATATTCTTACAGTGATACAGGTGGGTGTTTTTACTTTGGCACGGGTGAGCGTTGCAGCAGTGGTACAGGTGAATATTATTACAGGGGTACACACAGGTGAGTGTTCCAATAGTGGTAATGTGAATGTTTTACGTGGGTGTAGGTGAGTGTTCCAACAGTGGTACAGGTGAATGTTATTACAGGAGTACAGGTGAGTGTTCCAACAGTGGTACAGGTGAGTGTCACAACAGTGGTACGGGTGAATTTTTAGACAGACAATGTAGAAGCTTTTTTTAAAAAAAAGTGTGTGTTGGGGGTGGGGTTGCTACACCATGATTTTACCCCACGGAGTGACACCAAGCCACGTGACACAGCTGGACTAATCACAAGATTCGAACATTAATTAAGTTCCAAAATTACCTACGATAATTTAACATATGTTCAGAAACGTGCAGTAACAAAAATGAAAATAAGTTCCAGATTTTACGATTGACTGATTTCGTTTTTTCCCATTTCTAAAGTTTCTCACGATCACATGCTCTGTTGCAGTAAACCCATAGCATGGCTGATCTAGTTCCCAATGAACAACAGAAGCTTCGCAGCGTCTTCCTGGGCAAGTCAGGGCTGAGGGTCTCCAACATCTGCCTAGGGGCGATGACCTTTGGGGAGTCGAGTGTGAGTGACTGCCCCTGGCAATCTTGTCTGAGTTAAATGTTTAACTTTTCTGATATTTTATATGAACAGATCGGAGATTTGTTAATTGCCTGTTATATGTTAAACTGTCGGTGATGAGTTAAGGTCTTCTTCACAAAAAGGGATGGGGGAGGGAGGAAGATGCCGCTATCCATCTGAGTTTAGGCTGGGCTGGGGATGGGGCTGGATAAAAATCCCACTCAGTTTGTCTATTTTGTTTTCTTTCTATTTTCATCTCATTTACAAAAAAAGAAAATCATTAAAAAAAAATATCGAGCATTTGTATTTGTTTCCTTATCATTACTCCATATTTTTTATTTGTACTTTTTTTTTTTTGGTGGGGGGGGGGTGGCACACGATGGGGGGGGCGGGGGGGTTGAAACATATTTTTTTAATTACCGAAAAAAAGTATATTTTAATTTTTTGGCTTATATCAGGTATAAAAAAATATCGAGCATTTGTATTTGTTTCCTTATCATTACTCCATATTTTTTATTTGTACTTTTTTTTTCTTGGTGGGGGGGGGGTGGCACACGTTGGGGGGCGCGAGGGGGTTGAAACATATTTTTTTAATGACAGAAAAAAAGTATATTTTAATTTTTTGGCTTATATCAGGTATAAAACCCAAACGTCTAGTATGTGACGACACATGCTTTGGACCAAACAACCATCCAGATGAATTTTAAGAATAAAAACATAAATAAAAATCATAGGTCTACTCAAAATCCTTGTTTGAATGATCACTGGATTTGATCATGTGATGAGCTAAACATTTTAGGAATCATTTTAAAGTCCTTGTCATCGTTCATTGTCGCCATTATCATTAAATTAGCTATAGTTATAGCCTCTCCCCGAAAATTGGTGACCGCCATGCGCGAACGTACCATCTGCTACTCAAGTAACGTGCTTTATAAGAACCCCAATTAGAGCTTCCCCCCCCCCCTCCCGGTATGCCACTGCCCCTGAACTATATTCTAATGTCTAACTCCCTAACTCCCTTTAATACCGCATATTTATTACACAATAAATAGTTATAGCCCGACATACAATGGCGACGACAATGCGCGAACGTCCCAATCTACTAAAGTTACTTGACACAACATGAACTCAAGTAACGTGCTTTATAAGAACCCCAATTAGTTGTGCCACCACCCCTCTTTTTTCAGGTTCCTAAACCGCAGACTTTTTCAAGCACCTGAACTTTATTAATACTCAAATGTCCCGTCCCCTTTTATACAGCAAATGTATAACACCATAATTAAATTGAGACTATTTACTTAAAACAAAAGGAAATATTACGCATCAAACGCATCTACTGTATTGTTCAGAATCTTATTTAGCGCAGTTATCGGGAATTTTATATAGTGAATCAGCGCCATGTGGTAGCGTTAGGAACAGTGTTACTAAAGAATATTTTATGATGCAATAAATAGTGAAAATTTGATTTAAAATTTTAAAAAAGTTGCATTACTAAAGTGATAGTAAACTCCCGAATTAAAAAAAACAACAACAACTAATACCATGACTGACACGACCAACACACAGAATTTAAGAATCTGTGGTGTGGGTGGGGGAGGAGGTCTTTGGCTTCCCCCACTCAAAAAGGGCGGGGGGGGTGATTGTGTTAAATAGATGCCCCGAGTTTAATTGTAGGTTTTATGTTTAATTGTTTTTTAAGAGAAGATACATTTCAAGTCTCTTCTCTCTTCGTCTCACCTTCTGCATCCACCCGCTCTCTCTCCCCCCTCTCGCACTAGCTTCCAGGTGCTTTGAAAGCACCCCCTACACACACACAGCAACAAGAAAATAAAAAAAAAAAACACACGAAAAAAATATGAAAAAAGTAGGATCATTAATAATGATATTAATGAATTATATATAGATTCATATGTGAAAGCATCTCGTAGAGACCGACCGAAAGTGATTTCCGAAAGTTAAAAACGACTTTCTGTCGAAACCACAGCCGAAACCGAAATATCTAGATATTTTGAAAGTCGAAAACTGAAGGGTGGAAAATATCAATATTTACATAATTTTTCTTACAAAATGAGATTATCGTGAATATTAACAAACATCTATTGAATACTTTGGCTTTTACTATTTTAATTTAAAAGTAATTTACATTTCTTAAAAATGTTTTTTTTTTAAAATTAGTATAAAGGGAGGGAAGCAAAATTCATGCATTTATAATAGGACAACCTAGTACATAAACCTGATAATACCTACAATAATTTTTGTGGCTCAAATAGAGCCTATAGCCGCCTTAACATCTGTTATTAAGGCTATAAAAATATCACCACAATGTTTCGCGGTTATCGTCATGCTAGTGCTTTGTGTTTTCATACATGGCTGGCAAGATATCGCTGTAGTAATATTTAGTCTAGTACCATCACATTAGCCTTTCCGTGGTGGTGACGTAATTGTTTCGTTCGGCGACTAACCTCCCACATCCCTATGGGGGGGGGGGATTTTTATTTTTAATCCGGGTCTCTTAAAATTGTTGTTGTGACGGGTCTCGACGGAGAATCGAAAAGACATCTAAATTGGTAGCCAAAATCATAAAAGTTAACAGGTCTGCAGTAGGCTTACTACATAATTATTACACGAACCCGTGATACATGTACATACATGTTATTTTGTCAATAATAATGTTTATCAGCATGATAATGATGAATTTAAAGAAATGAAAAATTTGAAAAAGCATACGTTTCCTTAATTTAAATTTAAAAAAAAGAAAACAAAAATAATAATGGAAATATTATCATATTCCCTAGGATTATTCAATATTATTTACCTTTGCCTATGACAACACTTTCGGCTAGATGGCCAGATGACCGAAAGTCTCAATCAGTTTCGGCCGAAACCAAAATTAAACCGAAAGCCACCCTTTCTATTTCGACATAAACCGAAATTAAACCGAAAGTTTACTTGTCTATTTCGGCCAAAACCGAAACTGCGCTGAAAGTTGTCATTTGAACACTTTCGGCGTAGTTTCGGTGTTCAAATGACAACTTTCAGCGCCAAAATCGAAGCCGAAATTCGGTCGGTCTCTAATTAATGGAGTAAATTTGCGAAAACGTTTTAAAACTGTATGCTCTGTTTAGTTAGCAGATATATCAAGAATAGATCAGATACTGACTGAAATATTGTATATGGGTCTTAAACTTCACTAAAAAAAAAAAAAGTGGTGGTACTTTCCCCCCGTAGTGAGTAGCCTCGACTTTCAGATTTGCCCATACAAATCCACCCCTAATGTCATGTTTCCAGTGGGGCGTGCCGGGCCAATGTGACGAGGAGTCGTCCCACCAAATCATCAAGCGTTACGTGGAGTGGGGCGGGAACTTCCTGGACACGGCAGACGTGTACGGCAGGGGGAGGTCAGAGACCATCATCGGCAAGTGGCTGGAGACGTGAGTCTTTCCAACTCTCTCCTCTCTCTCTCACTATCTCTTTCTGTCTGTATCCCTCTCACTATCTCTCTCTTTCTCTATCTCTCTCTTTCTCTCTCTTTCTCTCTCTTTCTCTCTTTCTCTATCTCTCTCTTTCTCTCTCTATCTCTCTCTTTCTCTCTCTCTCTTACTCTCTCTACCTCTCTCTACCTCTCTCTCTCCCTCTTACTCTCTCTTCTATTACTCTCTCTCTTACTCTCTTTACCTCTCTCTAACTCTCTCTATCTCTCTCTATATATATCTTTCTCTCTTTCTCTCTATCTCTCTCTCTCTTTCTCTGTATGCCACCTGTCCCCATCTCCCCCCCCTCTCTCTCTCTCTCTCTCGTTATCAGTGTAATAATTTTTACACTCCGTCCAATATCCTCTTCTGCTCCTACAACTAATATCTGGTAAATCAATGACGCAATCCTTTCGTCGTCTGCTGATTTTCCTAGGCAGCCACGTGACAACTACGTCATAGCTACAAAAGTTAGGATGAACATGGGCTCAGAGGGTAATCAGAACAATGTCGGACTCAGCAGACGTCACATAACCGCCAGTATCGATGCCAGCTTAGATCGACTGAAAACGAATTATGTGGATCTGTATCAGGTAAAAAGAAAAAAAAAAAAGGGGGAACAACTACGACAAAGCTAAAAAAGTTAGGATGAACATGGGCTCAGAGGGTAATCAGAACAATGTCGGACTCAGCAGACGTCACAAAACCGCCAGTATCGATGCCAGCTTAGATCGACTGAAAACGAATTATGTGGATCTGTATCAGGTAAAAAGAAAAAAAAAAAAAAGGGCGATACTGCCACATTGATTGACTTTGAGAAGCAAAGAAAACGAATCTGATAATCGTTGACTTTGAGAAGCAAAGAAAAGGAATCTGATAATCGTATTGATGTGTGTGTGTGTGTGAATGAGTGTGTGTTTGTTGCTTTGCGTGTAAAAGGAGGGAGGGATTGTCTGTGACATTCATACAACTTACCACATGCCTTAGAATATGTTTCATAAAAGACATAGTTTCAGTTTCTGAAAAAGATGCTCTAAACAGAAACCTAGGTCCATCCGTCTACGTGAAGTTATGAAACTGTATTCTTTTGAAATGAAAAGTATGGCGTTTATGCGAATAACATTTCAATAGCCTAGATCATTTGTAATTGTTATTAAAATAGCGACTTAAGCAAATTTATTTTTGGGCCATTTTCCCTGACAGGCCCATGCTTTTGATGACGCCATTAGTTTAGAGGAAACGCTGCGTACTCTCGACGACCTGGTACGAGCCGGTAAAGTTCGTTATGTTGGTGTCAGCAACTTCACTGGATGGCAGCTTCAGAAACTGGTGGACACCTCTGAGAAGTTGGGGCTTAATCCCATTGTTGGTTTACAGGTAAAATAAAACATAAAACTATCCAATATTCATCAATGGGTAAATGACAAAATGTAAATTTGTACAGCTTCTGTGGATCCAATTAAAATGAAGAATGGAAGGCAACGGTGGTCAATGCAAGACTTGGAATTTTATAAACTTCATTTGAATATTAAAAAAACAAGAAATCTTTATTTGAAAAAAAAAGAGCTCGGTGACTCGGATGCGGAAGGAACACTGCCCAGCAAAATCCAACTTCAACAGGCCATAACACAAACAAGGACCCAAAGTGTCAGCCTTGCACACCAGCCTCAGAAACAATGGAACTTCGCTCCCCAAAAGCTGGACCTTGTGGAAGCTAGAGCGGCAATTTGGAAAAAAAAAAGGGGGGGGGGTGTCCTACGTTGGAAATATGTTGTATGGCACCACCAAACAGATAGGGTTTGTTGGCAGTGAGTAAGTCAAGGCCATTAAGGCCCCACCAAGCAGATAGGGTTTGATCTAGCAACAATACAATCTATTTCCCTCTCTGATCAAGCAACAATACAATCTATTTCCCTCTCTGATCAAGCAACAATACAATCTATTTCCCTCTCTGATCTAGCAACAATACAGTCTATTGTGTAGGGAGGCAGAGTTTGAGCCGTTCCAAGTGTGTAAGATGTCAGGTATTGGAGTTCTGCCCTGGAGTCCACTCAAAGGGTGAGCTGTGGGTCTGCAATAAACAGTCCTGTCCGTGGTGATTTGTCTGTGTTTTTAGTTTCAACAAGAATGAGATGATGATGCTCATGAGAACGTGTTTTGCTTGCTCAATTTTAATGCACCCCAACAAAATCAAAATACAGTAAATCTACTGTTTTATATGTAAATGTATACGTCCGTAGTCACATCATATTCACCGTTACTGTAGTGTCTAGCATACATCATGTTTTAGTTCTTGCCGACAAAGTGCAATCTGGCCACTATATTAACCATGGACCTAAAAATCGACCTATTTAATGTTGGAGTGCATTAAAATGTAATTATGCAGGGTTAAAATAGAATTCTAATTTTTTTTATTTTAGTTCTTGTCCTATAATTGAATTGTCTCGTCGAAATAACAAAAATGCTATGTATTTTACTGTCCAAATATCAAACAACGGTTGCCATTATATGACAATGTTTCTCTACTTGGACAGAGGTCTGCTGACCGGAAAGGTCAAACGGGGCGTGGGGCCCACAGAAGGCCGTCTCGGATGGGCAGCTGAAAATGCCAAAAAGAGAAACCAGTCGGCTGCGACGACGCTCGGTTTAACGGACCGGGCGTTTGACATCATCGAAGCCGCAGAGGCCATCGGTAAAACCAAAGGTGAGTCCTCGTCTGATTGAAGCAAGCCTCTGGCTTGCGCTGGACTTTAAATACCATAAAGCTACATATGTCCAATAAGACTAGTTTTCAAATAGCGGAGTATTTATTTGTCGTAGGTTTAAAATATTATCATAGGTTTCAAATATCCAAGGTTTCAAGTATCATAGGTTTAAACTATAACTGATTTAAATATCATAGGTACCAACCTTTACAATTTGTGATACCGCAAAACTAAAATATATGATTCACTCTAGAGTTCAAATATCATAGGTTTCAAGTATTATAATATTCAAGTCTCAAAATAACATAATATGTCTCAAAATAACAATGGTTTCAAATATCCTAGGTTTAAGTGTCGTAGGTTGAAAAATATCTTACGTTTCAAATATAACTATCAAAGATCATAGGTTCCCAATCTGGTTTTTAACTCTTTAAACGGTTGTCAGCTAATCTATGACTCAATCAAGAGGTCAAGATCTCAGGTTTTTCACAACTTTTGTCCTTGTAAGCCGACTTTCGGGAGAAAACATTTTGACAGCTAAGCAAGGGAATGGGCAGAAGGGTAGGAGGACAGGCGGGAATGAGGGTAGGAGGGCAGGAAGGTAGTGGGGTAGGAGGGCAAGAGAGTATGAGGGCAGGAAGAAGGACGGCAGGAAGAAGGAGGACAGGAAGAAGGAGGGCAGTAGGGTAAGAAGGAAGGAGGGAAAGCGTGTAGAAGGGCAGGAGGGCAGGAAGGAAGGAGGGCAATGAGTAAATTACATTATCATCAATTGGCATCTTTCCGAGATTCTTCGGTTTTTTAGGAACTTTAGTATCAAGTTCCAAATACCAATATCCTTAATTTCCGCAGGCCGCAGTGTCGCCCAGATCGCACTCAGGTGGCTGCTCCAGAAGGATGTCGTGTCGTCCGTCATCATAGGGGCCAGAACTCTGGCGCAGCTGGACGATAACCTCGCGGCAAGCAACGGCTGGTATCTGACCAAGGAAGAGGTGAATGGGTTGAATCGATACCATTGGGTGATTTTTGGAGTGACTGGCGTAATGTGTAGCGACGGCATTGCTGGGGAAAATGAAATAGGATTTTTAATAAGGGAAAATTGGGGTTTGTTGTAGGGTAGTGTTGGTTGCCTGCACGTTGTTTGTCACGTGCCCGTGTCTCACTGTGAGGTGAATTTAGTTCTCTGGTTTTATTAGCATTCATGTTTCATTAAAGTCGGGGAAGTGGGGTTCAACCTGGACATGCTAAGACACGTCATTGGTGAAATGTGGTACAATATGGACATGCTAAGGTAAATACCAGACGCTTCATTTGTGAAATGTGGTACAACATGGCCATGCTAGGGTAAATACCAGACGCTTCATTTGTGAAATGTGGTACAATATGGCCATGCTAGGGTAAATACCAGACGCTTCATTTGTGAAATGTGGTACAATATGGACATGCTAAGGTAAATACCAGACGCTTCATTTGTGAAATGTGGTACAATATGGCCATGCGTCATTGGTGAAATGTGGTACAATATGGCCATGCTAAGACACGTCATTGGTGAAGTGTGGTACAATATGGCCATGCTAAAACACGTCCTTGGTGAAAAGTGGTACAATATGGACATGCTAAGGTAAATATCAGCATGTCATTGGTGAAATGTGGACATTTGCGTACTGCTAATTCCTAGAATTTTTGTAAATATTTCAAAATTAAATAAATTCTAGGACAATTAAAGTTCAAAGGTGAGCCCCCCACCACTCACACTATCCCTCACCACTCACACCATCCCCCAACCACTCACACCATCCGCCACCACTCACACCATCCCCCACCACTCACACCATCCGCCACCACTCACACCATCCCCCATTACTCACAACATCTTCCAGCACTCACACCATCCCCCACCTGAGTGTGGTAGGGGGTGGTGAGTGTGGTAGGGGGTCCACTCACACCATCCCCCACCACTCACACCATCCCCCACCACTCACACCATCCCCCACCACTCACACCATCCCCCACCACTCACACCATCCGCCACCACTCACACCATCCCCCACCACTCACACGCTTCGTTGGCTTCCTTGACCCAGATGAAACAGCTGGATGACCTGTCCAAGCCAAGCATCGCCTACCCGTACGACTTCATCTCCCTCTTCAATGGTGACCGGAAGAACAGGAACGCCATCAACCAGTACGTTGCCAGTCTAGACGAGTGAGCCTTGACTATGTGCCTGACCTAGTGCATTGTATGTTTTTTTTTACTCATACGTGGGTGGGGCACGCCGAGTCAAGGTGATACCAGAAATACCTTCCCCATATAGTGTAAACCAAATACCTTCCCCATAGAATGTAAACCAAATACCTCAACCATAGAATGTAAACCAAATACCGTCCCCATAGAATGTAAACCAAATACCTCACCCATAGAATGTAAACCAAATACCTCCCCCATAGAATGTAAACCAAATACCTTCCCCGTAGAATGTAAACCAAATACCTCCCCCATAGAATGTAAACCAAATACCTCCCCCATAGAATGTAAACCAAATACCTTCCTCATAGAATGTAAACCAAACTTTGGCATGATGACGACCAGGTGACACATAACGAACATACGACATTGTATGATCAACAAGGGGTCAATCGCAAATTACGTCTCGCAAAAAATGACCTTTTTAGACCCCCCTTCCCGGTCCTAAAAGTGTCGCAAATTCTCCCCCACCCCCTCTTTAGTGTCACGTCACATCTAAAAAAAAAAATTCATAAAATTTTACATTACTAAACTAAGATTTTATTTTTATTCGTTTACATTTTCACATAATGGTTCTAACTGTGACGCGAAACAATGAAGTTCCCCCCCC